AATATTAAACTAATTGGGACACTAATTTTAGTTACAGATAACATCAAACAAAAAACGTTGCTACACTTTCAGTTATTGTGAAAACTTTCATCACCTTTCAACGCCTTAGCTTTGAAATGTGAATGTTTATACATATTCAGATTGAGTTATCTTTCTAAAATGTGTATAGTATGCCAAGTTATTTAGCTACATGTATTAACACCACAGCATGGAGAAAGTCAAGAGGAAGCAGTGGAGTGAGGCGGACATGTTCCAAGCCATGGAGGACTGCGTGGCAGGGATGGCTATCCGCCAGGCTGCCAAGCTTAGGCATCTTTTGTTTTTAGGAGATTACCATGTGTATGTGAATTGTATCTGCTAGAAACAGTTATCTTTTCTTATTCACCAAGGTGCATGGTGTACCTCGGCAGACCCTGGCGAACAGGCTGAGCGGCCGGGTGACCCATGGTTGTCGCAGTGGACCACCCACATTGCTTGCACCAGAGGATGAAAATTATCTGGTGCAGTACTGTATCTACTGCGCCAGCCATGGGTTCACCTTCACCAGACAGAGGCTGATGAAATACGCCGACAAAATACGCAGGTATTTGGTGTTTTATGTGTTTATGTATGTAGATTGGGGGACTGACTGTTCTTAATGTGTGTGATGTAAATTTGGATGTGTATGGTGATGCCAAAACAAACATTTTCATCCTGGATGGACAATTTATATATTATATTCTATTGTAGGTTTCGGCACCCAGGGGAAACAATCCCACCACTGGGGAAGAGGTGGTGGGAAATGTTCAGGAGGAGGCACAAGAAACTGAGTTTGAGGAGGCCGAACACCCTGGACAGGGGGAGAGCTGAGTGTGCCACACGTCTGACGATGGACACCTTCTTCACTTCTTATGAGAAGCACTTGGAGGAGAGTGGGTTGAGGGAGAAACCCAGACAAATCTATAACTGCGATGAGTCTGGGTTTCGTAGTGACCAGAGCAGGCACAAAGTGCTGGCTCCCCGGGGCGCAAAACACGTGTACCAGCAGGCTCCGGGGACAAAGGAGCACATCACAGTGCTGGCCTGCTTCAACGCAGCTGGGGAGGACGTCCCCCCATTTATCATCTACCCCAAGTGTTTCCCCGTTGGACACTACACACTGGGAGGCCCCCCCCCCCCCCCCCCCAAGCCACTGAAGGGTCCCATTTAATGTCGTCTCGGTCCCTACCGCGTCCCACCACCGCTTCTCCTGGAACCAGCAGCAATGTGCCGTCCATCAGCACCTCCTCCCCAGTGACCACAGGAGGACCCTCAGCCCATCACCAGTCCCAGCCCTAGCTCTAAAAGAGCACCCCCTAATAGAGGGGGGGCTAATAGCGAAGGACCTGGGGCACATCCTCACTGTCCTGAAGTATCGGCTAGACCGATACAGAAGACTCCCTGTGGTCGCCACATGCCTCACCGGGGAGGAATACACGCGCCAGTGGCAGGAGAGGGGTGAGAAGGAGAGGGCCGAGGCAGAGGAGAAAGAGCGTCGGGCAGCCCTCAGAACACAGAGGGCACAGGAGAGGGCTGCCATGGATGAGACCATTGACGCCATCGCCTCTGCTGGACCCCCTGCTGGAACCACTCCTGACAGCTGCATCACCACTGCCAGTGCCTCCCAGTGTGCAACACCTGTAGGAGCCGCCGGAGTCCCCAGCTGCAGAAGAAGGCCACGTGCCTACTCTCCCGGCCACACCATCGTTGGCCCCTCAACCCCACCATTACAAACACCAGCTCCTCCAAGCCATCGTCAGCGGTTTTGTCCACCACCACCACGATGCACACCACCTTCCCTGTCTGTCACCACCAACAAGGCCTCCTCTAGACCAACTGCCTCCTCCGTCTCCCCCGGTCACACCACCATAGCAGCCTCGGCTGGTGTCCCTGCCCCCTGCAATTTGAATACAGCCACCTCCACATGTTAAATTACGAAAAAATTACTGTTTGTTACCTATTTTATAAAACAGCAATGTAAAAAAAAAAAATCTCTTTACATTATATCTACAGTCCATAGCACCAGCCCTCAAGTCATCTCCACCTCCTCCAAAACTTCTGCAGCTTCCTCCAGAGGTATTGATGTAAAAAGGTTGAAAAGGGTTTTCATTAAACATGCTCTGTCTAACACTACTTTTTCTCAAACTGCAGCACAGAAAAGGAAGAAAAGCTCCAACGTCAAACCACCCATGGCACCACTCTCAGGTACTTCATAATCTGTTTTTCTCTCTCTCTGTTGTATCAATTACTATTGTTGTTGAAGAACTTCTACATTTTGCAAAACCATGTTAATCAATTTGATTATTCTTTTATTTTTTATAAAAGAAGACACCCTCGCTGCGGGGAGCATGATCCGCCTGCAAGCTCCCCTCAGGAGTGTAGATCCGAGGTGCCATGGGTGTGCTGTGACTTCTGCCAGCACTGGTTCCACTGCACGTGTGTGCAATGGGATCCAGAGGTAGCGGTGGAGCTTGACTTTTATTGTGAATTTTGTGACAATATAGGGATGGAGGTCAAGATTTAATTGTTTGTTTTGTTTGTATTCATATGAAATTATTTATTTGTACAAAAAAATACATGTCTAAAATATAATATATATTTATTCAACCCATCTTGTGTATTTCTTCCTTTACTTTCCAAGTGCATCTCTGCAACACAAACTCCAACTGTGCTGCCATCCTGTTAGAAGGTAACAGATTATTTTACTATAGTGGTTGAGTGACTTTCATTGTGTTCCATGGTGTTTATCGTCCCCTAGTGGAGCTTTCTGGTACTTAGAAGAATGCACAAAAACCGGAAGTAGAGTAGTCATTCTGCACGCAGACAAGCAGCTAGAAACAACGCTACGGTACAGTTCTTTCTGTGCAACTATTTCTTGTCACGCTTCAGCCTCGGAAAATATTTGTTTGTAAGTTCAATTCAAGCATATTGCTAGTGATGATAATATTGTTATTGATAGAATTGCCTGGTTAAATAAAGGTTAAATAAATAAAAATAAAATAAAATTGATAGAATTGCTTACTTATCAATGTTAGTTGGTTACATTTACTCACGCAAATTGCATTGACGCGTCAGCTGTATTAGTTTGCTCGTGCGTCTTGTAAGTGAATTGTAAAACATACTATAGTTTGTTACTGTTTCTAGTGTAATATGCTTTGTTATTGTACAGAGGTGTTTGCACATTATTAGAGTAATGAAAGTAGTTGGCTAGTTGCTACTCATATGGTAATTTCTTATCTGGTTTGTCGTCATGTCAGATACATGCCAGGTCGCAGTTGTAAATGAGAACTTGTTCTCAACTGGCTTACCTGGTTAAATAAAATAAAAAATAAACATGGTACCTTGGCACTTGCTTTGTAATTATGCAACTTCAACTTGAAATGTATAATGTACAGCTACACTATGTCAATGTGAATTGGATAATAAAGTATATTATTTTCTGTATATTGCAATTTCACAAATGTTTTCAATACATTCGTTCAAGAAAACTCATGCCTTGGAAGTTTTATTGAAGACTCAGTTGTTAGCTATCTGTCTAGTTTTGCATGGGAACGCAATTCCAGGGCAGAATACCAACAGTGTTTTCATTGTTTGTCAATACACATAATTGAAATTAGTTTTATTTGATGTAAATTATTAATACTCATATTTTAGTATTCAACTGTTATCTACTTTCTCAACATAAGATTAATCTGTAAAACAAGCGATGAGACATTATTTGGTTACAACACTGAATGTTGGTGAAGAACCATTTCTTAAGAGTCCACAGGAGGGCGCACCGGGCTAAGCAATGAAAAGTTGACCGGCAAGTCATTTTTTACCTGAAGGCTAGCCAACTATCTAGTGAACATTTCGGATACGAGGTTGGTGTCTCTTTTTTCAACACAATTAAACCGATATATCTTGTAAATGAACAAAATAGTAAGGTGGCCTATAACTGGGGACCGTATGCCAATAATACGGACATATTTTTTTTGTTAAACCGCTTATCAAAAAGCTGATAATAGTATTTCCACTGAAATGTCAAACATGCTAATTGCTAACCCGTTAGCTAACATTTTTACGACACCAATAATCACAAATTTGATGGCTTGATCACAACACTGTTGAAGGTAATACATTTCTTAAACGCTGTTGAATATGTCGATAATACGGGGTTCCACGCTAGCTAGCTACAATACTGAAGCTAAGACACTCACCTTGACCTGTTGATATTTAGCTAACGTTGGCTAGGTTTTTTCAAAAAAGCTCTGGCTTCGTTTGGTCTACTACAAATCGCGCCTTTACTTTGGCCAATCAAAAACGATGGCGTCGTGGCGGTAAATTTGAGCCATTCTCCATCAACTGACTGTCCACAATCTTCCATCCAGCATAGGCAGCAACACAGAAACATCTTAAAATCGGTTTACTGTCCAGCAAATGACAATGTAAGAGCGTATGCTTTCATTTGAATTTGTATTAAGTGTAATGATGAATTGGCAAGTACTAGATAGGTAGCTGTGTTTTCAGTGCAAGGTCGCTCATGAGGAGTGTCATGACACATCTAGTAGCAGATAGCTAGCTCAGGTGGTGACAACAATCTGTGACTACTGCCGCGTTCATAACATCTCTGCCCTCAAATACAACTGGGAACTCGAAAAAAACGAGATGGGAAAAATCGTTTTGAACAGTCATCCACCTCAGGATTGCAAGTCTGGAACTCGGGCCTCTTTCTAGAGCTCGGACTTTCGGACCTGAAGATCACTGAAGTCATGATTTGACCTAGTTTTTTTCCCCAGAGTTCCAAGTTGTTTTGAAAGCACCATCCTACAGAGTTTCTAAACCTTTTTGATCATACTTCCTTGCTAGCTAGCTAGGCAACAGCACAGATGAATACAGCTATATTTATTTGGTAACAACATCTGTCCGACAGTTCTAGCTAGCATCCTTATTTCTTTAAACATATCCATGTCCAACCCTGGCAGCTCCTCAATCCTTTGAAGATGGAAATGAATGTTTCCAGCATAAGCAAACATAATGGTGAGTATTATTGCTGGACTTCTATATGTTACACATTACACCACTTTTTTGTTTTTGTTCATTTATTTGTTATTTTTAATTTTTTTAGCCACAAAGACAGATCTGAGTTTGTTGCTGGAGTGTCTGAAGTACCAGATGAATTGTCCTGCTTCACAGAAACAAGCTCTTCTCACCATCTACTCTATCTGTCAACAGAGAGGTCTCTCACACACACAGGGCCACAAACAGCAAATCTCCTGTTGATTGATCTAATAGACAAATTAATCACTAATAGTTATGTAATGTCACTGATTCTCTTTCTCAGAGGAGAATGTGGACTTCTTCAGAGAGATGGGAGGAGTGGTGTTTGTGCGCAACCTCTCCAAATCCAGTGCTCACTCAGAGGTCAGGGAGACTGCTCAGTTCACACTGGGAACGCTGGCAGAGGCCAATGGTGTGTGTGTTGGTAGTGTACTTGAAGCAGTTTCTCTCTGATGCTGCTGTACGTGTATTGTAAACAAGCTGTGTGTGTGTGCAGTGTACTGTAAGCAGGCCCTGTGTAGGAGGGAGACATTCAGTGATCTGTCAGATTGTCTGATGCAGCAGGAAAGCCCACTGAGCCAGAAGAGAGTAGCTGTCTACCTGCTCTCTGTCCTCGTCGCCAACAACAGTAAGAGCAGACAGGAAAAACTGACTTTGGGTTTCTTTGGTCCTGCTGAGGTTGAGAGTTGATTTCAGACAGGGAGTGATTGTCATGACAGGCAGGTGTTTTACCTGGTACAACCAGAGGAGGATGGGCCTCCCCTGTCTAGTGCCTCTCAAGGTTTCTTCCTTCCAGGGATTTTTTCTTGCCACTGTACTACTTCTTGATCTTTGGAGTCTAAGCTGGGTTACTGTGAAGAACATAAGCCTTGTTCACACTGCAGGCCTAAATGCTCAAATCAGTTTTGTAGGAAAAATAACAGATGTGGATATGCAAAAAAAAAAAAAAAAAGGATTTGAGTCACTTCAAAACTGCCAGTGTGAACAAGGCTTTAGTGATGTTTATGTGAAAAGCACTAGGCAATATACACTTCCGGTCAAAAGTTTTAGAACACCTACTCATTCAAGGGTTTTTCTTTATTTTTACTATTTTCTACATTGTAGAATAATAGTGAAGACATCAAAACTATGAAATAACACATATGGAATCATGTAGTAAACTAAAAAGTGTTAAACAAATCAAAATATATTTTCTATTTGAGATTCTTCAAATAGCCACCCTTTGCCTTGATGACAGCTTTGCACACTCTTGGCATTCTCTCAACCGGCTTCATGAGGTAGTCACATGGAATGCATTTCAGTTAACAGGTGTGCCTTCTTAAAATAATTTATTTTCTTCTTAATGCATTTGAGCCAATCAGTTGTGTTGTGACAAGGTAGGGGGGTATACAGAAGATAGCCCTATTTGGTAAAAGACCACGTCCATATTATGGAAAGAACAGCTCAAATAAGCAAAGAGAAACGACAGTCCATCATTACTTTAAGACATGAAGGTCAGTCAGTACGGAAAATGTCAAGAACTTTGAAAGTTTCTTCAAGTGCAGTCGCAAAAACCATCAAGCGCTATGATGAAACTGGCTCTCATGAGGACCGCCACAGGAATGGAAGACCCAGAGTTACCTCTGCTGCAGAGGATAAGTTCATTAGAGTTACCAGCCTCAGAAATTGCAGCCCAAATAAATGCTTCACAGAGTTCAAGTCACAGACACATCTCAACATCAACTGTTCAGAGGAGACTGTGTGAATCAGGCCTTCATGGTCGAATTGCTGCAAAGAAACCACTACTAAAGGACACCAATAAGAAGAAGAAGAGACTTGCTTGGGCCAAGAAACACAAGCAATGGACATTAGACCGGTGGAAATTTGTCCTTTGGTCTGGAGTCCAAAACCTCTGTGTCTTTGTGAGATGCGGTGTGGGTGAACGGATGATCTCCGCATGTGTATTTCCCACCGTAAAGCATGGAGGAGGAGGTGTTATGTTGTGGGGGTGCTTTGCTGGGGACACTGTCTGTGATATATTTAGAATTCAAGGCACACTTAACCAGCATGGCTACCACAGCATCTTGCAGCGATACGCCATCCATCTGGTTTGGGCTTAGTGGGACTATCATTTGTTTCTCAACAGGACAATGACCCAACACACCTCCAGGCTGTGTAAGGGCTATTTGACCAATGAGAGTGATGGAGTGCTGCATCAGATGACCTGGCCTCCACAATCCCCTGACCTCAACCAATTTGAGATGGTTTCGGATGAGTCGGACCGCAGAGTGAAGCAAAAGCAGCAAACAAGTACTCAGAATATGTGGGAACTCCTTCAAAATTGTTGGAAAAGCATTCCAGGTGAAGCTGGTTGAGAGAATGCCAAGAGTGTGCAAAGCTGTCATCAAGGCAAAGGGTGGCTATTTGAAGAATCTCAAATAGAAAATATATTTTGATTTGTTTAACACTTTTTAGTTTACTACATGATTCCATATGTGTTATTTCATAGTTTTGATGTCTTCACTATTATTCTACAATGTAGAAAATTGTAAAAAATAAAGAAAAACCCTTGAATGAGTAGCTGTTCTAAAACTTTTGACCAGTAATGTATATTGTACATAGAAATGTGGTTAATTGTTTGTGTTCTTCTTCAGGGTCTGGCCAGACGTTCGCTCAGACCTCAGGCTGTCTGGATATCCTGCTGGACTTGTTCAGGTAAACACTGAAAATCACCACACTGGGTTTCCGGCAGACATGGGTTCTTTATTGTAAAAGATCATTATGGTCAAGAGGTGAGCAGCAGATGACATTGTTTTAAAACAATACCGGACAACGCCAATTCCAATTCAGGTTTATTGATGTTTATGTTTCTTTCCCCAGGACTAGTTTCCCTCTCTCTGGCGAGGCCACAGTGAGACCTGCTAACGTCACTCAGCTGTTCCAACTCTGGACCTCTGTGTCCAGTGCTCTATGTGGCTGTGTAAACAACCCCCAGAATGGTAACGTTTGTGTATTTGTGTCCTTGTACAGTGTTCTATGCAGCTGCACATTAAATAAACAACGGTAATTATGTATACATGTGTGTATCTTGGAGGAAGAAGAAAAACTTTATTTCCCTAGAGGAGAGCCAGCGTATCTGTGTGTCAGCCTTCCCCCTGGTCAAGGGCTGGCTGCAGCAGCTCTCTCACCCCTGCACAGAGATGGTTCAGCCCATCTGCTCCTTCATAGCCATGACTGTCGCCAACAACCGTGAGTAAAACAGGGATGATGCACTGACACTAATGCTTAGTCAGTTACTTACATACTGTATGTATTAGTATCTTGTGATTGAAATGGTATGTTAGCCTTTTTAACAGATTTTCTTGAGTTGTCTGTCACACAGAGTACCTAGGTTGCTTTTGCAATGGATGGTTTGTAATTGTAGTCCGACTAGTTTTATAAGTGTAGTGTTGTTTCTACAGTGAGGGTAAAAAAGTATTTGATCCCCTGCTGATTTTGTACGTTTGCCCACTGACAAAGACATGATCAGTCAATCATTTTTAATGGTAGGTTTATTTGAACAGTGAGAGACAGAATAACAACAAAAAATCCAGAAAAACGCATGTAAAAAATGTTATAAATTGATTTGCATTTTAATGAGGGAAATAAGTATTTGACCCCTCTGCAAAACATGACTTAGTACTTGGTGGCAAAACCCTTGTTGACAATCAGAGGTCAGACGTTTCTTGTAGTTGGCCACCAGGTTTGCACACATCTCAGGAGGGATTTTGTCCCACTCCTCTTTGCAGATCTTCTCCAAGTCATTAAGGTTTCGAGGCTGACGTTTGGCAACTCGTACCTTCAGCTCCCTCCACAGATTTTCTATGGGATTAAGGTCTGGAGACTGGCTAGGCCACTCCAGGACCTTAATGTGCTTCTTCTTGAGCCACTCCTTTGTTGCCTTGGCCGTGTGTTTTGGGTCATTGTCATGCTGGAATACCCATCCACGACCCATTTTCAATGCCCTGGCTGAGGGAAGGAGGTTCTCATACAAGATTTGATGGTACATGGCCCCATCCATCGTCCTTTGATGCGGTGAAGTTGTCCTGTCCCCTTAGCAGAAAAACACCCCGAAAGCATAATGTTTCCACCTCCATGTTTGACGGTGGGGATGGTGTTCTTGGGGTCATAGGCAGCATTCCTCCTCCTCCAAACACGGCGAGTTGAGTTGATGCCAAAGAGCTCGATTTTGGTTTCATCTGACCACAACACTTTCACCCAGTTCTCCTCTGAATCATTCAGATTATCATTGGCAAACTTCAGACGGCCCTGTATATGTGCTTTCTTAAGCAGGGGGACCTTGCGGGCGCTGCAGGATTTCAGTCCTTCACGGTGTAGTGTGTTACCAATTGTTTTCTTGGTGACTATGGTCCCAGGTGCCTTGATCATTGACAAGGTCTTCCCGTGTAGTTCTGGGCTGATTCCTCACCGTTCTCATGATCATTCCAACTCCACGAGGTGAGATCTTGCATGGAGCCCCAGGCCGAGGGAGAGTGAAAGTTATTTTGTGTTTCTTCCACTTGCGAATAACCGCACCAACTGTTGTCACCTTCTCACCAAGCTGCTTGGCGATGGTCTTGTAGCCCATTCCAGCCTTGTGTAGGTCTACAATCTTGTCCCTGACATCATTGGAGAGCTCCTTGGTCTTGGCCATGGTGGAGAGTTTGGAATCTGATTGATTGATTGCTTCTGTGGACAGATGTCTTTTATACAGGTAACAAGCTGAGATTAGGAGCACTCCCTTTAAGAGTGTGCTCTTAATCTCAGCTCGTTACCTGTATAAAAGGCACCTGGGAGCCAGAAATCTTTTTGATTGAGAGGGGGTCAAATACTTATTTCCCTCATTAAAATGCAAAAATCAATTTATAACATCTTTGACATGTGTTTTTCTAGATTTTTTTGTTGTTATTCTGTCTCTCACTGTTCAAATAAACCTACCATTTAAAATTATAGACTGATAATTTCTTTGTCAGTGGGCAAATGTAAAAAATCAGCAGGGGATCAAATTTTTTCCCTCACTGTATGTCTATGATGGCCAGGCAAAGATAGATGCAGACCTTCAGTCTGTAGAGATTAGTGTCCTAGAGTGTTTTAGTTTAGACAACCTTGGACTGACTGTTCAAATTATGGTTTCTATCTCTCTCTTTCTCTCTCTGGTGCAGAGGACGGTTTTGGTTTATGTATTGAACTCTCATTATCCTGTATTCATCTATCTCTGTGTGTCTCACCTTATCTCTCTGGACCCCTCTGTCAGATTGTGCTCAGGAGAGTTTTTCCACAGTTGGCGGGCTCGGAACTCTGACCCTTACTCTGATTCGCTTAGCCTCTGATGCCGCCCACAGCCCATTGGCCTGTCAGCAGTCTGTCATCATGACCAAGACCCTGTCAGCCTGCATCATTGACAACCGTGAGGGACTCACTCCCTGAATCCCAAATCAACCCCTCTCCCCTACCGCTAGGGCTAGTCACTTGTGTAGAACTCACTCACTCATACAGCCATGTAAACCAGCTCTCCTTAGGTAACCAGTCCATTTTCTCCTCTCTCCCCCTACTGTGCGTAGCTGTGTTGGCGTCAGGTCTGGCAGGTTATGGTTTGGTTCCTCAGCTCCACTCCCTGCTGTCCAGCCCCAGCCTGGAGCCCCAAGACAGGCTCATTGTCATACTCACCCTGGGACACTGCACTGAGGCTTCTGGTATGGCCGGGACACCCAGCTTTATTGGCCACAAATAATGACGAGAACACATCTTACAATTCCAAAGAAAACATGAATTCATTACAACAATGATAACAGCACAGTAATAACTACAGTATTTATTTAATTCAATTCTCTCCCCTCCCTCCTCTAGAGGAGCACCAGTCTCAGTTGTTACAGTGTGGAGGTCTGTCCCTCATCATCACTCTACTGACTGAGTCTACAAGCGAAGAGCTCAGGAAGGCTGCTACCTTCATACTGCAGACCTGCAGACAGGCTAGTGAGTACACACACACACAAAGACCTGTATGCAAACGTGAGTCTAGCCATTTCATAACGTCCATAGCATTGTCTTTCCTCTCATCCTTCTCCTCCCTGTCCTTCCAGCTGTGTCTCTGCGTGGTGCGGTCCAGGGGGAGTCTCAGGGTCAGACTGGGGAGCTGGAGCCCCCTGTGGACATGGAGGGGTACTGGAGGTCAGCACGAGACATGCTGCACAGGATCAACCAGCTGGAGAGACAACAGGCTCAGGTATACTACACCACACACACATACACATGGCAGGAACCCGGTTACTGAGATTTACCGGGATTTACCGCCCAAAACCCGTCTCTTTTCCCGGGATAAATAACTGCGAGAACAGCATGGCGTGAAATGGAACTGTTAAATTATATGTGATGTCTAAATCTGGCTTCTTTACGGCTTCTGCATGATGAATTATCAACGCTCAGGGTGGGGACAGACAGCCCATCTCAGTATGGAGCACAGTTCACAATGCATGTAGACCTATCATCTCATCATGGTAACTTTTTTTCTTGTGACAGGTAGGCCTACATTTGCTGCAGCGTAGCCTATGCTACAGTAATATAAAGACCGAATGCGCGTCTAATTTACCCATCTCCATCTGGCTTTCGGGGGTCACCGTATTTTTTTTTTATTGTAAAGATTTTTAAAAATGTTATTGCAGCTGCAGTCACTTGAATATCGTTGCTTTAAATCAGTGCACGCCCAAGCACTCTCTCGCAGTCTTTATCTCCATCAACTCCATTGAAATGGCATCCAAAATAGATAATCATGTTCTAGTTAAGCAATAAGGCACAAGGGGGTGTGGTATATGGCTAATATACCGCGGCTAAGGGATGTTCTTATGCACGACGCAACGCGGAGTGCCTGGATACAGCCCTTAGCCATGGTATATTGGCCATATATCACAAACCCCAGAGGTGCCTTATTGCTATTATAAACTGGTTACCAACGTAATTAGAGCATTAAAAATAAACATGGTATATCGTGATATACGGTCTGATATACCATGGCTTTCAGCCAATCAGCATTCATCGCTTGAACCATCCAGTTTATACATTGATATATAGCCCTATATATAGATGCCCTAGCCTACCTCTTTCAGGTAATACATTCAATGCAGTATTAGCCTTATATTTAACTTATTAATTATGGGTTATGGATAATAAGCTTCTAACTTATAGCGTCTGTCTCTTGTGCAATTCACACGCACCTGTGCTCCTCTGGCCTCTCCCATGCAGGAAAAGCTAGACTAGAATAGCTTTCTAATGCAGGAAAAGCTAGACTAGAATAACTTTCTGGACATTATTTTTTTAGCATTTCTTATACCAATAGACGATTCGAAGAGGGACGCAAGCTCTTGTTTGCTGAATGTTAAATACAGCAGCCAATAGAACTCACAGGTAGTTTGAAAGGAGAGTGAACGCCCGATGGCGGTAGGCTATAGCAGTTATTTATTCGGACCCATAACCATTCAATAAAAAAAACTCAAATCTTCGTGAAGAGAAGTGAAAGCCTTCTGCATCTAATTCTAGTCCTATATTATTCAACGATGTCATTAAAATGATGAAGATAAGGACAACAAAACGTATTTCATTTAACTGTTGAAAGCTAGGAGGGAATGAAGCAACAATAGAGAGAGAAATAGGAGGTAGGCTAATAACATACTGTGTTATGAAAGGTGTGTATATATATGTGTCAGCCTACTAATTATACAAATAGGCCCAATTATATTTCAAAATTAAAATCAAATTCGCTAGCCTATACTTTGTAGGCCGCATGTGCTGCACCAGAATTGCATGTTCTCTCCCTGCTTTATCATGGTTTGAACAATGTGCATAATTCCAGTCCATCTATTACAGTATAATACAGTACAGTAATACAGTTCACACTCAAAAAGATGAGCTTACTGGAGCTAGTTTAATTTATTTACCAAGAGAGCATATAGCTAGCTACATCTATGGGCTTTTTATGTTTTTCTGTTGTGTGTAATGTTCAGTAGCCTATATCATAGGCTATATGTATTGGATAATGGCACAATCATTTGGGCTTTTTTGGGCTTAGGCTCATTAAATGTATTTTAATGTATGGCTCATAAACTGTATTTAATGTATGGCTCATCAGGCTCAGGTAGAATCAGGCTTGAATTTTCGATCAAAGCTCTAATCAAATCCAGACATAGGCCTATTTATATGCTTTATAATGCTTTTGAATGACACTTCCAATTTTGGCGGGAAATACTGGTTTATCCGGGAAAAAAGTGATTGATTCTCGGGATGGAACATTTGTAAAATACCAGGAAGATATTCAACACACACACCCTTCTCCACATACAGGCATGCACACTCTTACTCCCACTCACTCACTCATCCACATACACACCCCTTAAACAGCAAGCCTTTGTGTGTGTGTTGGGGTTGTTGCACAGGGAGCGGAGGAGGAGTGGGAGGGGGTTGAACCAAACCTCCCAGACCAACAGAACCCTGCAGAATGGGGGAGGAAGGAGCTACTCTCACCCCTACCTCTCCCCCCATCCGTACCCCTACCCCCTCACCACACCTCTTTACCATACCAGGAGAGGAATGGAGGAGGAGACAAGAGGTGTGAGGAAAGAGAGGAGCGTTGGAGAGGAGTAGAGAGTTGGGGTCAAGAGAGAAGAGAGGAGAGAGGAGGAGGAGAGAATAGAGGAGAAGAGCGGGGGATGTCCTGTGAACGCACCCCAGTCCAGCCGGTTCTAGTGGGAAGGGGTGGAGATGGAGAGAGAGTGGAGCGACACCATAGAGACCAAGAGGAGAATCAACCCACAAACAGAGGGCAGGACCTAACGGTGCAGGTCTAACACAGCTCTGGTCCACTCCACACACAATGGTCCTGTCCAGAAACAACCCCTACCCTCTAGGGGACTTCATGTCAATCTGAAGGGATTGGATAGGTATAATAAGCAATATGGTACCTTGCCCTCTGATATGTTGTTTCTGGACAGGACCAATCTATTTTATACACACTGTACTAGGCTCTTCAAGCCCACTGACTCTCTTGGTTTTATATAGTAAGTTAAGTGTCAAGGTGTGTGTGTTTTGATCAGAAGCGTGTAAGGAGACAGATATTCCAAACCAGTGAGGAGCCTCAGAAACCCAGCCACAGCAGCAGAGAGAGAGAGAGGGAGAAGAGGACACACACACAAAGGCACACCACGCTGCACGTGTACACACTTGGAAACACACAACCAGAGAAGGAAAGGGACAGGGGCTTGGCAGCTAAGAGAAGCACTTATCCTCTCTACACAAACGCACTCACAGAGAAAGGCAAAAACACAGCATCACACACACATGGAAACACACAGACAGAGAACCGCCGAGACAAGCACCCTGGGATGAGGGAACAGGCACACACACAGTCTGTGTCAGCCGTGTGCCATGCTGGACCTGGTAGAGCTAGTGTCCCGGGGCAGCCCAGTGGTGGAGAGGATGAGAGGTGTTCTGTATGTCTGGGGACAGGAACACCGGTCCCTTCCTCCTCCTCGTCCAGGCCACTAGAAGGACACTCCCAGACACACAGACACAGGTCAGCATTCTGCACTATATGCAAATACTACATTTATTGAAACACGAAGTGTGAAATGTAATTCTGTGTGTACTGTTCTTCTCTCCCTCATGGTTTGTGGTTTAGCCAAGTGTTCAAGTGCCCAGCTCCAGGCAAGCCAGGAATGAGCAGGCAGAAGAAACCGTTGGATGATGAAGGTACAAAAATGTCAATGGGATAAGGTGACAATGCAATACTGTCTAGACTATGTATACAAAGGTATGTGGACACCTCTTGAAATTAGTGTATTCTGCTATTTCAGCCACAGCCGTTGCTGACAGGTGTATAAAATTGAGCACACCGCCATGCAATCTCCATAGACAAACATTGGCAGTAGAATGGCCTTAGTGAAGAGCTCAGTGACTTTCAACGTGGCACGGTCATAGGATGCCACCTTTCCAACAAGTCAGTATGTCACATTTCTGGCCTGCTAGAGCTTCCCTGGTCAACTGTAAGCGCTGTTATTGTGAAATGGAAACGTCTAGAAGCAACAACGGCTCAGCCGGGAATTGGTAGGCCACACAAGCTCACAGAACGGGACTGGCGAGTACTAAAGCGTGTAGCGCGTAAAAATCGTCTGTCTTTGGTTGCAACACTCACTACCGAGTTCCAAACTGCCTCTGGAAGCAACGTCGGCAGAAGAACTGTTCGTCGGAGCTTCATGAAATGGTTTTCCATGGCCGAGCAGCAGCACACAAGCCTAAGAACACCATGTGCAATACCAAGTGTCGGCTGGAGTGGTGTAAAGCTCGCCGCCATTGGACTCTGGAGCATTGGAAACGCATTCTCTGGAGTGATGAATCTGGGTTTGGCGGATGCCAGTAGAACGATACCTGCCCCAATAGTGCCAACTGTAAAGTTTGGTGGAGGAGGAATAATGATCTGGGCCTGTTTTTCATGGTTCGGGCTAGGCCTCTTAGTTCCATCGAAGGGAAATCTTAACGCTACAGCATACAATGACATTTTAGACGATTGTGTGCTTCCAACTTTGTGGCAACAGTTTGTGGAAGGCCCTTTCCTGTTTCAGCACGACAATGCCCCGATGCACAAAGCAAGGTCCATACAGAAATGGTTTGTCGAGATCGGTGTGGAAGAACTTGGCCTGCACAGAGCCCTAACCTCAACCCCATCGAACACCTTTGGGATGAATTGAAACACCGACTGCAAGCCAGGCCTAATCGCCCAACATCAGTGCCCGACCTCACTAATGTTCTTGTGGCTGAATGGAAGCAAGTCCCCGCAGCAATGTTCCAACATCAAGTGGAAAGCCTTCCCAGAAGAGTAGAGGCTGTTATAACAGCAAAGAGGGGACCAACTCCATATTAATGCCCATGATTTTGGAATGAGATGTTCAATGAGCAGGTGTCCACACACTTTTGGTAATGTAGTCTATCTCTTTATCTATAGCTCTGAAAAAAGCTGAACTGTCTCTTACCAAATCGATCCAGTAACACAGTTCTCGTCTCTCTCTCTCTCCCCCCCCCCCCCCCCACCTATGGGTGTGTATTGTGTTAAGTGTGTGTTCACCCAGCTGTGTCTGTCTCCCCAGGCTGTGTGTCGCGGTTCAGTGAGGTGACCAGCCGGTCGTTCCCTGTCTTCCATAGGAACTGTCCCCACAGCTGTGACCTGCACCTGGTGCTGCAGCAGGCCACACACAGCTACACACAGCACCTCCGAGATATACGCAGGAGGAGAGAACTACACACAACGGGACAGAGAGAGACGCAACGAGAGACACAGAGAGTCTGGGATCACTGCAGAGATAAGATTCCTGAAATGCTGAATACACCCACACACCGATGTGATCTGAATTGGGATTTGTGTCCTGTACGAACAGAGGCCAGTCTGACTCCTGTCTGTAAAGGAACCCTCCTGAGGAGCTTCTCAACCCACAGAGGACAACGCAACACTGACCACAACCGTAAGATTCACCATCTCAACAAAATATTTATATATCCTCCATCTTTTGGGTGGAAAACAATAATATATTATATACTTCTCTTCTCCTCTGTCTCTCTCTCCCCTCCCTTCTCCCCCCCCCCTATTTTTCTATCTCAGTTGTGAGTCTCACTCCCCTTAAGAAGTGTGGTCCATGTGAAGGTATCACTCGGACTCCTGTGCATAAAGGTCTGATGAGGAGCTTCTCTTCTGTGACCAACAGGGGGCAGGAGAGAGGAGGTACAGTATGTTCAGAAACCATAACAACACATTAGCCTTTATTTTACCCTGCTAATAATGAGATAGCCTTATCGTTTCTCATGTATCATCTGCCTCACTCTCTCCCTCTGTCTTTTGCACCTCTATTTATCTTGTCTCTCTCTGTATGTCCCTCCCTTTCTTTGTCATTCACTTTTACTCTCTCAGATGTTAGTCTCACTCCATTGAAGAAGCCTCTGCCCTCTGAAGGTAAGAAAAGGAAGCTACTGTTGAAATCTGATACTGTATATTTAGTTTAGATCTTTTTTGGGATGGAAGTTTTACGGAAGAGGATGTGTGTGTGTGTTGCATCATCATAATGATGTGGCCAGTGACACCTTGCTTCTTGACAGTCCAATATCTTGAAAATTGGCTGCTTACATGCAAAACATTTTGGGACTGTATCAACAGTGGACTGAGTGGATTTTCCCTTTAAGTTATGGGATAAGTTAGATGCTGGTGACAGGCTGCTATGAAGTTACAACTAATATGCGAATTGAATGTCTGTGTATGTGTGTATTTTTTGTGGGATTCCTGGTCTCCAGTGTATTCCTTGCAGCACAGAGAAATGTTGAACTGCTGCCTATGTTCTCACAGCACAGGCCAGGGCTGCCTTAGAGTTGTACAACACTGGCTGATAGCTAGTTAACACACTGTTACTGACCTCTCTGTTACTGACCTCTACAGCTGTACAACACAACACTAGCTAGTTTACACTGTTCTAGAGCAGTACAGTTGTACAACACAATCTAGTTTACACTCTGTTCTAGAGAAGTGCAGTTGTACAACACTAGCTAGTTTAGACTGTTATAGAGCTCGAATGTCGTGTAGCAGTGGCCACCTCTAAGCTTCTGTGTGTGTTGATTCACAGTTCACTCTGATTTACTCATGCTCTCTCTTTTTGAGCACCTTTCCTCCTTCACTTTGTCTGAAATACTACACTATCTTTCTCTGTCTGTTTCTCTCGCTTTCTCCATCCAGACTGTCGCCCTCTCGTGTGCTCTCTACCCCACTCGCCCTCCTCTTTTCTCTGCTCTTTCACCATCTTGATCTGTCCATTCTGATGACCCCCCCCCCCTCACTCTCTGCCCTTCTCTCTCATGCTCTATCTCTCCTTTTATTTTCTTTCTCCCTCTCTGGCCAGAGAATCTCTCCTCATTGTTCTATTGTTCTGGTAGCAGGCAGCTGTATTAGGCTGGACGGATGACGTAATGTCACTCCAATGAAGAAGAGAAAGAGGGAGAGATTGTATTTGCTCTTTATTAGATTGTCTCTCTGTTTAGCTCAACGCGCTCTGAGAGCTGTTGATCTCTGCTCACAATGAGGCTTGACACATCTGTTCTTTGCTTACTGTCTCCCTCTTTTTCTCTCACTGTTCTCTCACTCTTCTTTACACACACACACACAGACAGAAGAACACATCATGGGGAAGATGGTGCCATTGATGATCAGCAGAAGACTCTGTCCATGGGAAACCCCTCTTTGACTGTAATAGAGAGAGTGTGTGTGTGTGCATGTCGGGAGTTTGTGAATGTGTCCAGATGTCTCTGTAGAAGTGTATATTGAATTGGAGGTTAATCTAAAGTGGATGGACTGTATAGAACGGCCAGTGTTCTAGTAACCAGGCAATGTGGCAACAGAGATGACTATGCCAGTGTGTGTGTACTAGCGGAAAGTTACCCAAGAGGTATGTGTGTGTGTCATGGTGTCCTCTCTCTTGCAGCACACTGAGCAGAGCAGTTCCAAAACCAAGGAAAAGAGGATGATGACAGATGAGGTGTGTGTGTGTTGTCTCATGTCCTCTCTCTCTCTTACTGTTCTATACTCTGCATTCTCCTACATTGACCTCGCTCTTGCTCTCCCTCTCCCCCCTCCCCTTTTCCCTCTCTCCATCTACAGAGGAGGGAGAGGAGGAACTTCAGCCGTGAGGAGGAGGGTTATCTGTGTCGAGGTATAGAGCGGTTTGGTCCATCCTGGAACGCCATCCTTTGGGCCTATCCGTTCCAGCCGGGACGCACCAACGTAGACCTGGCCAAGAAATACAAACGTCTGCAGGTAATGGGCATCAACAATGGTTTTACAAAAAATTATGTCACTGACTTCAATTTCAGTTGGTGAGTATTCAACTGACCCTGCTCTCGCTCTGTGTCATTTTCTGGGTCTTGTTCTCTGGCTTTTGTTCCCTCTCTCTCATTCTCTCTTTCCCTCCCTACAGGCTAAAGCCCAGGGTATGGATTCAGACTCTCCATGAGATCCTAGTAGAACACATTGATTGTCTATTGTACATAAATCAGTCATATATTTGAAATACTCTGATTTAATATTCAGTAATAGTTTAAGTACTATAATTTAATCCCCAGTTTGAAATTAACTACTATGCTGTACTACTGTAAATCAAATACATTCTTTAATTTAGTAATATATTTGAAATATGTTAATTTAATGGTCATGGAGGATTAATGAAGGATCTGTTCTGTATTTCTCAACCTTGTTTTTTTTACACAGCAGTATTTTGCTGTCAATTTGAAGTAGTTGGAATATAGTTTGGAATAGAAAAATGGAAATGATTCATGTAATGATTTGCACTTGACGCTTTAATAATTTATTTTGTTAATTGTTCATGTATGAATTGAGACTGAAATGGTTGCTCACTCGTCATCCCCTGGAGTTGTTTGTATTGAATTAAACAGAAGGGTGTCAGTATGCAGCGATGGGTGTCAGTCACTGTCTGTGATACTCTCACACCATGCCTTTTCATTCTGGGACCCTCAAGGCTCCATGGAATTAACAATGAGGATGTTCATTTACTGACTTGAGGTTAAGAACCACTTTATTTTTTTACTTCTAGAGAGTTTATCGTGTTTGTCCGTCAAGGGGAAATGTTTTCTACAGCTTATTATTAGATATTTTAGTTTAAGACAATTTTATGTAATGCATGGGTGTGAGTTGGTTAAACATGCATTAAACATATAAGGCCGCGTGGGAGAATAAAATATATGTGAAAGTGCACAGTATGTCTATATTTGAGTTACAGTGGCCTACAGCTGACAGACATTGAATACTGTATCTTGATGGATTTATGAGTATGGATTTGGATACAGGGATTGTGTTCTCATTGGGAAAACAACAGCTGGAACTGACAGTTTGCATATGTCAAAGCTATATGGAACAAAAATATAAACGCTACATTCAACAACTTAAAAGATTTGACTGAGTTACAGTTCATATAAGGAAATCAGTCAATTTAAATACATTCATTAGGCCCTAATCTATGGGTGGGCCTGGGAGGACTAAAATGCACATTTTAGAGTGGCTTTTTATTATCCCCAGCACCTGTGTAATGATCATGATGTTTAAGCAGCTTCTTGATATGCCACACCTGTCAGGTGGATGGATTGTCTTGGCAAAGGACGAATGCTCACTAACAGGGATGTAAACAAATTTGTACCAAAAAAATGATAGAAATAAGCTTTTTGTGCATATGGAAAATGTCTGGTTTCTTTTATTGCAGCTCATGAAATTATGAATTATGAATTTTTTACATCACAACACAACTGATTGGCTCAAACGCTTTAAGAAGGAAATAAATTCCACAAATTACCTTTTAAGAAGGCACACCTGTTAATTGAAAGGTGACTACCTCATGAAGCTGGTTGAGAGAATGCCAAGAGTGTGCAAAGCTGTCAAGGCAAAGGGTGGCTATTTGAAGAATCTCAAATATAAAATATATATTTTTGGTTACTACATGATTCTATGTGTTATTTGATCGTTTTTATGTCTTCACTATTATTCTACAATGTAAAAAAAAATATATAGAAAAAATAAAGAAAAGCCCTTGAATGAGTAGGTGTGTCCAAACATTTGACTGGTACTGTATGTCTCCTGATAAGGAATCTAGATTTTTTTAAATAAAGAAAACTAATAATGAAATGCTATTAGCGACCACCAGTCAGACTATATATCATTAGTCTACATATGGCTCTAGCTAGCTATCACTACGTCGTCTTATTAAAATAGGCCAGTAGCCCTTCTCCTAATTCTCTGTGGTGACCACATCTGGACAGCCCAGTGAATCAGCAGAGTGGAGTTACAGTGCATTCGGAAATTATTCAGACCCCTTTTTCCACATTTTGTGACGTTACAGCCTTATTCTAAAATTTATTAAATTATAGTTTTTCCTCATCGATCTACACACAATACAGTGGGGGAAAAAAGTATTTAGTCAGCCACCAATTGTGCAAGTTCTCCCACTTAAAAAGATGAGAGGCCTGTAATTTTCATCATAGGTACACGTCAACTATGACAGACAAATTGAGAATTTTCTTTCCAGAAAATCACATTGTAGGATTTTTTATGAATTTATTTGCAAATTATGGTGGAAAATAAGTATTTGGTCACCTACAAACAAGCAAGATTTCTGGCTCTCACAGACCTGTAACTTCTTCTTTAAGAGGCTCCTCTGTCCTCCACTCGTTACCTGTATTAATGGCACCTGTTTGAACTTGTTATCAGTATAAAAGACACCTGTCCACAACCTCAAACAGTCACACTCCAAACTCCACTATGGCCAAGACCAAAGAGCTGTCAAAGGACACCAGAAACAAAATTGTAGACCTGCACCAGGCTTGGAAGACTGAATCTGCAATAGGTAAGCAGCTTGGTTTGACGAAATCAACTGTGGGAGCAATTATTAGGAAATGGAAGACATACAAGACCACTGATAATCTCCCTCTATCTGGGGCTCCACGCAAGATCTCACCCCGTGGGGTCAAAATGATCACAAGAACAGTGAGCAAAAATCCCAGAACCACATGGGGGGACCTAGTGAATGACCTGCAGAGAGCTGGGACCAAAGTAACAAAGCCTACCATCAGTAACACACTACGCCGCCAGGGACTCAAATCCTGCAGTGCCAGACGTGTCCCCCTGCTTAAGCCAGTACATGTCCAGGCCCGTCTGAAGTTTGCAAGAGTGCATTTGGATGATCCAGAAGAGGATTGGGAGAATGTCATATGGTCAGATGAAACCAAAATAGAACTTTTTGGTAAAAACTCAACTCGTCGTGTTTGGAGGACAAAGAATGCTGAGTTGCATCCAAAGAACACCATACCTACTGTGAAGCATGGGGTTGGAAACATCATGCTTTGGGGCTGTTTTTCTGCAAAGGGACCAGGACGGCTGATCCGTGTAAAGGAAATAATGAATGGGGCCATGTATCGTGAGATTGTGAGTGAAAACCTCCTTCCATCAGCAAGGGCATTGAAGATGAAACGTGGCTGGATCTTTCAGCATGACAATGATCCCAAACACACCGCCCGGGCAACGAAGGAGTGGCTTCGTAAGAAGCATTTCAAGGTCCTGGAGTGGCCTAGCCAGTCTCCAGATCTCAACCCCATAGAAAATCTTTGGAGGGAGTTGAAAGTCCGTGTTGCCCAGCGACAGCCCCAAAACATCAATGGAGGAATGGGCCAAAATACCAGCAACAGTGTGTGAAAACCTTGTGAAGACTTACAGAAAACGTTTGACCTTTGTCATTGCCAACAAAGGGTATATAACAAAGTATTGAGAAACTTTTGTTATTGATCAAATACTTATTTTCCACCATAATTTGCAAATAAATTCATTAGAAATCCTACAATGTGATTTTCTCTACTTTTTCCACCACTGTCTCTGACACAATGACCCTCCTCCACAGAGTCCAGACCACATTCACTGAACCCCTCTATCCCTGCTTTCTGATTGAGGATGGATGTTCTGTGAGGATACTGATACCAGAACATTAATGAAATGATTAACACAGAATATTTTCAGTCTTTAAACATAATTGAAACAAGTGTATTTACATTTTACAATAATGTCAGAAGAAGCATCTTTATTTCATGCAGCAAGAGTTGACATTTCTGAGAAAACTGGGGAGATCTACTCACAGACAATGGCAGGTTATAATTGTATGAAACACAGTGTTGCCAATTACCCACCTGTCTAAATAAAGGTGAAACATTTTAATTGAAAAGGAAATTATTGTCACGCCCTGACATAGAGTTCGCTAGTTGGGTTGGTCAGGGTGTGAATCCATGTTTGCTATTTCTATGTTTGCCGGGTGTGGTTCCCAATCAGAGGCAGCTGTCGATCGTTGTCTCTGATTGGGGATCATACTTAGGTAGCCATTTTGCCTACCTATGTTGTGGGATCTTGACTCTTGTTTGTGTGTAGCAATTATGAGCTTCACGTTACTTTTGTTGTTTTGTCGTGTGTTAACTTTGTTAATAAACATGTATGCATTCCACGCTGCACCTTGGTCCAATCCTATATTCAACAAACGTGACAATTATTATTAAATAGTGGCAATATCATATCAGGATTTATTTGACTGTGAAGAATTTATAGTGCTTATGAACACTTTATAAAAGTTATTTTTCGTGTGACCAAATAGTCATTAGTCATGAGTGTTCTTTCGTTTTTAAGAAATAAAGGAACTTAGAAAAGCCCTTTGGTCTGTAACAACTGCCTGACCTTTGCCCAAGACCACACCCCTTACAGAATGCACACTCAGATTTAGCGTTTATTTCCCAGTCACAACCACCAATGCTTCTAAAGAGACACAAAGGATTTTATTTTACTTACAGAACTCTGCTGCTCAGTCAGTGTGTGTATCAACATGGCAGAGGCCATGGACCTGATCAGTTGTTCAATCTGTCTGGATCTACTGAAGGATCCAGTCACTATTCCCTGTGGACACAACTACTGTATGGGCTGTATTAAAGGCTGCTGGGATCAGGACGATCTAAAAGGTGTCTACAGCTGCCCCCAGTGCAGGCAGACCTTTACCCCAAGACCTGTTCTGAACAGAAACCCTCTACTAACTGAGTTAGTGAAGAAACTGAAGAAGACAGGATTACAAACTGCTCCTCCAGCTCTCTGTTTTGGTGGACCTGGAGATGTTGAGTGTGACGTCTGTGCTGGGAAAAAATTCAAAGCCATCAAGTCCTGTCTGGTGTGTTTGGCCTCTTACTGTGAGACTCACCTCCAGCCTCACTATGAATCTCCTGTCTTTAAGAAGCACAAGCTGGTCAAAGCCTCCACACAACTACAGCAGAAGATCTGCTCTCATCATGACAAGCTGCTGGAGGTTTACTGCCGTACTGATCAGCAGTGTATCTGTTATCAGTGTGAGATAGATAAACACAAAGGCCATGATACAGTTTCCCCTGCAGTAGAAAGGATTGAGAGGCAGGTAAGGGCAACAACTCT